AGTGATGGCGGGGCAGGGGGGCTACTCAATCAGGGGTACTCTTGCACATATCGCGAACCCTCGGCCCGCTTTCTCTCGTTTGCTTTCTTCCTTCGCCGTCTCGGCCGTCTGCTGCCCCCCTCCATCTCCTTTGGTCGTTGCCATGTCCGTGCTGCTGCATGGCTTATTGTTCCGTTGAACGCTCGTTGTCGGCTAGCCTCCTCTTCTTCCTCGTGCGGAGTTCATGAACGTCTTAGCTCCCGGCCGTGCCCCTGTATGCCACGGCACATCACGCTCCACCTTCGTTGCTTCCGTCCAAGTTGCATCGGGACTCCGAAAACACATGGCTCGGCGTCCGTAGATCCGTGCTTTGCCTCGAACAATTGAGGTTGTCCTTCAGGCAACATCTGCCAGTTTTGCTCCGGTTCCCGGTGTCTGGGTCCTACCCCCCGACCAGCTCGCCAAGCATCAGCCCTTTCGGGAGTCGCTCGTCTGGCTGCCTTGCCGATGTGAGTTCGCTTTTCCTACACCGGCTCCTGGGCGAGCAGAGATGCAGGCAGGCACGGCAACTGCTCAAAACCTTTCGACCCATGCCCTATGTACTCCCAGCACGTGAGCTGGTTCTAGCGTTCTAGCGGGCAACACTACAAGTCCAATTATTCTGTGGTGGCGTGGTAGCACCGCAGTTAGCTGTTGTGAGGCAAACACGCGCGATTACGATCGAAGTTTCAGCGGGGTTGGCAACAACGGGTAGAGGTACGAGGCTATGTCAACGTAGCTGGCGTTTCCGCATACAACCAGCTCTACCCCCGACCGCCGCGATGCCGAGGTCCCTCGTCCCTTTCAGGTCGGCGAGGATCTGCATGATCGCCTTCCAACCCCCCTCTCTCTGTCGGAGCGTGGGCGTGGCGCGCTACCCCACGAACGGCGAAGGAGATGTCCGGCCAAGAGCAGAACGTTGACGCCCATGTCGTGCTGCCGATACCCTCCCTCACCGGTCACCCCCCTCCACTCTCGTCATCTCGCTTGGGTCCTGCTGCGAATAGCCGTGTCCCCTGTTTCTGCTTATTATACGGGGACGCGAAGGGATGCAACGCGAGGAAGGTATGCTTTGTTGGTATGCCCTTGTTGTGTGTTGTTAACGGCATGTATTATCGTAGGGGGACATGAGGGAGAAGGAGGGAGGAAGAGGGCCAGGCCCAAAGCCAGTCGAAAAGGGGGCCCGCAACTCGTATTTCAAGGTCTCTTCTAGCCTCCCCTCAAGGCAATCCCATCTGCGGTACACGAAACCGCCAGTGATTTGGTACAATCCGACTAATCTACCTCCACGCACGAACACCTTTGTTTTTTTGTACGGCTGGCTGTCTGCCCATCTGCCGCCTCTTTGCCCTGTTTGCTCCGTTACTCCCATGCCCTGGTGCGCAGTGCCTGGTGCTGGTACGTTACGTTACCCTTTCATTTTTTCTTTCGGCGGGTGTGGGAAGCGTCCTCCTTTATTTT